TTATTGAAAAGGTTTTACACTTATTTGAGAAATAGTATTTTGACAGGTGATTGTTAAACTTTGAAATGATATGATTTGATAAGATTTAAATGCTCTGTTCGATTTTCGAATGCTTCTACTGATTATAAGAAAAGTATAAATGGGAGTAGACCTTGATGAATCCCGTAGCTAACGGCGGGTTCGTTAGACCTGGTGCACCTTGTAGTTCTGATTACTAATAAAGCCCTTGCTAGTGGGAAGGTAGAACTAGTATACTGTTACTGATATCCCTCGAGTAGGGACCTACTGATATGAATATTTAACTCCTTTATGAGGAGTTTACTGTTATTGGTTACTTTTTAAAGAGAAAGCCACACTGATTACATGATTCATCCTTGGAAACCTCCCAGCTATAAGATTTGATATGGAAATGTTTTTTTGAGTTTACTATTAAGTATTTACATTGATTTTGCTTATATGAGGCACATAAGATTGAATAATATTATGATTTCTGAAAAGGCATTATTTCATCATTTTGATTATTATACTAGCATGTTTTCTGACTTGTCCCTTATTAAAATGGTTGTGGTTAAGTATTATTACTCACTGAGCTAGCGTCTCACTCCTCGCTAATTGTTTTTTCAGAGAACTCAGGTGGTATTAAAGAGGATTTCATTAGCTAGAGAGTGTGATTCGGTAACACCTGGTGAGCCCCGCATTGCTTCGCGTGGCAAGAGATCTATTGATTTGCTATGGTTTATTTAGTTCTTTAAAAACTCTTAAAGTCACTCCATTCGTCATTCTTTCCTTTGAGTCATGAGTATTTCTTCGTATTGTAGTCAAGTGACTAGTTTGAACTTCTTTTTCATATTTGGAGATATAACTGGTATTATTGCGTCAAAGTTAGACCATTAGTGGATATTAGGTTTTGGTTTGTAGTTGTTATTATTTGTGTTGTGGATTTCCGAGACGGGAAAAATTCAGGCTAGGCACAAAAATAAAGGAAATTCTGCCCGATTTTCTGTAAATTTATGGTAAGGCTTGCTTTGGGATTCTTTCCCCTTAGCGCCGGTCATAGACCTAATTTGGGTCGTGACATAAAAAGGTAAAATTATGTCAGTTTGAATACTCAAGACCTTCGTTTGAGAAAGAAGATGATTAATGTGTTGTCATATTTCGAGAATGAATGTTCCTAAGGGGGAAAGGATGTAACATCCCGGGTGTTTAAGATTGTCCGTCGTCTCATGTTGAGAACTTACGAGTAACTCTAGGGTACTTTTGGACCAAATTATCAACGATAAGGGTATTTGTACCAAAGTATTGACTGCAAGGATAATTTTGTTCATAAATAATAACATTTTTATTCATTTCACATAATTTAAGGATATTTTTTATCTTTTCCATTTTTTAAATGGACTAAAAAGGACAAAAGCAAGTAGCATTAAATTATTCAAAGAGTCCCTCACACATTGAATCCTTTCCCTTTCTTGATGTTACTTAATATCTTCCAGCCGAAACAAAAACTATTACCCCTTTTTGGATAAGTCCTTTTCCATTTTCGTTCTTCCATTTTCATGTGATCTCAAAAATCATTGATGCGGAGATTATTTGTGTTGACTCTTGAAGGCAAGATCTACAGCTGCAAGCACTGTGGAACTCATCTTGCCCTTTCTGAAAACATTGTTTCCAAGGTTTCCTCCATCTTTTCTGTTTGATCACTCTGTTATTGTGATTTCTTGAAATTGGGATCTTTTTAATTTTGATTTTGATTTATTTTGTTGTAAAAATACAATCTTTGGCTTGATCGGTGGTTTCGGTTTCGTTTCTAGAACTTGTTAGGGATTGTTGTTGGTCTGTTTAAGTAATTTTAGATGTATATAAAAATTGGCTACTTTAAATCAGCTATGTGAGTGAAGAATGTCTCAGATTGAGTAATTTTTCCCTAAAGGAGATGAATTTTTTAGCATCAAAGAGCTGGGTTTTGTGGAGTTGCTGGTTTTGGAGTAAAAAAGGGATTGTATGAGTATTCTTTGTGAACTTTAAAAAAAATAGTAGTTATTTTTGCTGATAGCATACCATACAATATTCCTGCTTAATCCAGTTATCAATTAGAGGATTTGTTTGTTGAGTCTGATACTTGGAGTATACTTGATTGGTATTTTCCATTTGTTCCATGTTTGTGTGCTAGTGGCTTCAATATTTCAAACTATTATTGTTATGCCCAGTCCATTGATCAGGTCTTGGGACTGATCTATTTTCTATATTTTGATCAATTTGGTGCTTGTTTGGTCACTTTATTTTGCTCAATTTCATTGTAATGTACATTCATGACTTTCTTTATTATATAAGTTGACTTTGTAGGTCAGTCTTTCCAATGAAAAATTCCATATGACTTCTATAGCATAGAATCAGAGCACATTTTCAAGTGTTGGAGCTTTGAAACTACCGTTTCTTGGAAAATTCAAATGCTTTTTGTATGGAGTAAAATATTGATTCTGCAATTAATTATATTGAAGTTTAATGTTGTTTCATCCCCTAAATAATGTATGTAGTCATTCTGAGTTATGAAGTTATCTAACTCTATGTTTTCCTTCTGATCTTTCCTTCAGTCTTTCCACTGCAGACATGGGAAGGCTTATCTTCAGTAAAGTGTAAGTCTCTTTGATTCTGCACATTCAATCATCAGATATGTTTGTGACATTTTCCTATGTCCAATCTTTAAACTTGCAGCATGAAAATCACAAGTGCAACTTACAACTTCTGTTGGTTTTATTCTTGTTAGAGTATGAATTACCATTTATTTCCTCTGATTGTTGTTAAGCTTTTCTTGGCATCGATGGGACATGAGTTATTTGTAGCTTGGTTAGATGAACAATGATATTACTACGGTCAAGCTTATCCATACCTCTGGTACAGAAAGATGAAAAAAGCTACTAGATAAATCCTCTTATTTGACTTCCACCCATTCTTTTATTGGTGTGGAGGACACTATTAAACTAGAAAGTGCAAAAAGATGAAGTATTGAAGAATTCATGTTGGTAGTAGTTAGCCAAAATTTTCATGATTTGAAATGAAAAAAGATTTGTTTTTCAAAAGTTGAGTGCAGCTGGAGTATGTGCAAATTATTTGGCTTTTACTCTATGTGGGTCAGATAGCTCTCAGGATCTTTGATTTTGTTATTAGCTCCGAGTCATTATTATTATGGAAGGTCATAACTCATAACCAACCTAGAATGTTTGAGTGCACATGAAAAGTTGTGAACAAGGTAGGATATACCTTGTAGGTTTAGTTTGTTAATGACATGGTACTGTATATGTGTATCTTCATACATTTGTGTCATTGACATTGCTCT